GTTCTCTAACAGCTCTCTGGGCTCAAGACTAGCTCCTCAGCTGAAACTAATCCTCACTGGAGCGATGGCCAAAACCACTGAGGACTTGCTCCTTATGCCTTCAACCTGCAGTGTTTGCTGTTGTTCAGAGTGCACAGAAAGCTGTGAGAGGGTGTAGGACAGATCTATTTTGTCTTCTAAAATGAAGGGAAATGGCCTGAAGGGACTGAATTATGGAGCAACACACTGTTTCCTTCTTGCCTGATGTCTTGGTTCAGAGAGGGCTTTGTTTAGTGCTTACTCCTTTGCTTTGTGGTTTAAAAACAACAGTGAAAGAAAAACCAAGAACAAACACTGAGCAAGGAGCAGCTGAGTGGATAACCCATAGATCAGCCAAATTATGGTGGGGGCCTCCTGAGCCGTAGCTGGGATCCAAACGAATTAACCTGCCACTAATTGCTCCCAGTGGAGAGCACCAGCTGTGGCCCACGTGCTGCTGACCAGAGGTGTTTGCCATGGCGTTTGGTGGCACCTCTCTGGAGCAGCGCGTTAAGGAACCCGCCGGGGGCCTCCCACGGCTGTAAGGACCAGTAACCCCGCTCCGCGGGAGCCAAGGGCTGCCGTCGGGAGTGACGGACAGCGGCGAGCAGTTTGTGCCGCCTCACCTTGCTGTCCCCTAAGCACCCAGCACCCGGTGGCACAGAGGTCCCTGTGCCTTGCCTGGTTAGGAGTGGAGACAGGCAAATACAGTCCCCCCTGTGCTGGAAGGGCAGCATATTAGCGGCAGTGTTTCTAGGCCGGTTTGCAAATATGAACACTACAGGAAAACCTCTTGCTCTCAAACTCCCTGACCTGGCCTGTTTAGCAGGATAAAAAAGATGCAACAGTCAGCACACCACCTCATTTTTGTGTTTTTGCTTCTATATTCTCTCCAAGAGAAGGAAGGAGAACCAGGCACACCCACCTAGGCACTAGTGAGGTGCTTTGCTCATCTCTCAGGGCAGGCAACAAAGGAAATACTCCAAGGGACAGTCTTAACTTCTCCGAACAACGCTTCCCAGGGAAGATCCAGGCACTGTTCGCATGTTTGGGCATGGGAAGCCTGCAGGTTTCTTTTCGTGATTGAAAACAGCTGCTATGTGCTGCAGATACTTGGGTACCATAGTTTTTAAGAAGAAAGGACCTTGTAGCAATGATTGCACCAAGAAAATTTGGCATTCCCACTTTTATATTAAATTTTTTTATTGAGATGATGTAATTACAGGCATTTTAAAAATTATTTGCAACTCACTGGCCCTGAGAATAGGCTTTTTTGTTTGTTTTTGTTTTGTTACATTCATTTGATTCAGTCCCTTAGCCCCACACCTTAAAAAACCAAAAAGCCATCATCAATAAAAAGAGACTAGAATTTTATTTAAAAAAACAGACCTTGAACTGATGCATTCCGGATTTGCACACGGCTGCAGTCTGACAAAAAGATCTGGAGAATGCATGCGCGGAGTTTGAAATTTGGGGAGGGCGGCAGCGACTTAGTGTTCACAGAAAGGGCCCCAGTAGTGTTCTTTGGATGGAGAGGCAGTCAAAAGGTTTCAAACTTAAATCAAGAAAATGTTCTGCTGTGGAACTGCAGCCTGTCCTACCTGACGGGCTTGTCGCTTGTTCAGGCTTGTAGCAAGCTGATGGCAATGAAGGTCCCACTTAACTGGACAGTGTGAAGATGCTTTGCTGGGTGTTGAGGTTGGCAGGGACCTCTGGAGGTCATCTGGTCCAACCCCCCCCAACCTGCTCAAGCAGGGCTACCCAGGGCCAGTTGCCTGGGACTATGTCCAGACGGCTTTTGCCTGTCTCCAAGGCTGAGACTCTTTCGCCCTTTTCCCACTTGCTTTGGTGGCAAAGGCAGAAAGTTCAGCTGCTTTGCTGCTGGCAAATTCTACACTGGGAGATCAGAAACTGGGGAGGGAAGGCGGGTGTCAGGGTTGGTGGAAAGAGTGTTACCTTTGCTAGCCCAGACGGGCAGCCGAGCGGTCCTGTAGCTCAGGATGTTAATGCTGTGTTTGCACTCCAGGTATCTGCCATTTGGATGTGAGGTAGAAGGGAATCTGTCTACTGCAGCTGCTCTAGCCTGGTGTTATTTTTTTTAGGTTTAGTCGTAGCTGGTAAACTTGCTTCCAAGACCCCAAGAGCAGCTCAACTCCTGCAGCTCCCACAACAGGTCCCAAGCCCCTGCAGTTCTGGCAGCTGCAGTGTCACCCACACCGCTCACTGCTGCACCACGCAGACCTGGCAGGAGGCCGGGGACAGCACCAGCCAGGAATGGCCTCTCTGGGATCAGCCTGCTCCAAGTTCAAAGGCTATTTTCATTCCAGCTAGCATCAACCTTGAGAGAACTTCTTCTCTGTGGTTGTGAAGAAGTTGTCTTAAGATGTCCTTTACATGTGAACTGGAAGAGTTTCCAACAGCCACCAAATATTCCCCCCCCCCCGACTTAGATTCTGCAGGTTAAATTGATTGCGTTTTTGGTAAAAGTGAACATTTCCTCTACAAAACTTCCCCACGGGACAACACATGAGACTTCAGGATTCCTTGCTTTTTCCTGTCATACCCCGTGCTGAGGATGAACTTTGCTAGCATACACAGTGAGTGTATGGGCTTATACTGGTGGATTGTCTATTGTTCTCTGTATTTTGCAGTGCGCACCTTGGCTGTGACAAAAACCTGTGGCTCACCAGAGCACTTTATATACAAGGTGCCCGTCGTTTGGTTTTTTTTTTTTTTTTTCCCCTCACCATCTCATAACAGTAGCTGCAGCAGGCAAAAGAAAATAACGCAGTTATGGAGTTGTCACAGCCAGAGCAGTGAAGGATATGAATCGTTCTCTGCATAAACTTGGTTTCTTTCTACCCTAAGAAACAAGCAAAAACCTTTCTTCACATTGATACTTCTGCTCGTGCGTCATCTGCCATTCATATTCACCTATTCACCCCAGCTCCTGAGACATGGCCACAACGTGGGTGCCCTTGAGCAGGGTGACACAGCAGAGTAACTCCCTGGCCCCTTGGTTTGAAGGGACATTTGGTTTCAGATCTGTGACCACTGAAGCCCCTCAGTGTCTCCCAATTTCACACCTCCTGAGCTTCAAGGACTTCAGAGTCACGGTAGAGACAGGTGACAGGTTGTCTGCTCATCTTTCCGGTACACACTCCCGCATCATTTCTTTTGAGGCAGAAAGTCAAGTACATGGTGTGCTGGGACTTGTAACATATTGATTATGATTTAATAAAAAAAATGTGGCTGGGAAAAACTTAGGGAGAAACGTGTGCCCTGTCGCTCCCCATCAGATAGTGGCTCTGAAAAATCTCTCCTCTTTGTATGATGCCTATCTATACCCTTAACAAAGCTGCTCCTTCTATAACCTGTGACTCAATATTGAGTCTTTTGTGAGATTGGACTATCTCTGTTTAAACACAGGGGACACTATTCATTGCCAAGTGCCATTTTTTCCTGGGTAGATTAACCCTTGTGTTAAACATGTGGTAAGGTCAAATGTTGTGTTGGTTTAATAGCTGATAAAAGCTCTATCATGGGAATGTACCTTGGGTTTTGGTTGAAACAGATTAGATTAGCCCACTGATTTTTTCCATTTCTAGTATGCATGGTCCCATAAAAGAGGTTTTCTGTTTTAATGAACTGGTGTGGAAGTGCTTTCTCCCAGACACCATGTGATTCCTGCACAGTTTCCCTACACATCTGCTCCCTTTGCAAGTATCATTTCTGCTGCTAGATCTTCCTTCCATTCAAAGGACCACTGATGATGGATCGCTGGATGCCTGGACACCACAGCCTCCGGTCATGGTGGCCCAAGCAATGTGAAATGAAAAAGGCCAGTAGTTTCTCTCACATTGGGCATCAAGGACTGATGAGCTTCCTGCGACCAAACTAGGCATAGCTCTTTGCCTCATGCAAAGCACTCTCAGTGCAGCAAACCAAATCGGGGGTGTGAAAAATGAGGCACCTTGCAACCAGAACAAAACCAAAAAACCAAGAAAGCAACACAGCTGTTGGGTTTCTTTTTTTCTTGTCTTTTAAATCATGTTAAAAACGGGCAAGCTGAGTCAAGCTCCCTTGATGGCAGAGCTGTGGGGTGGGGAACGTAGTGGGAGGCATAAAAAAAAACAAATCCCAAAACAAAGCCAAAATCAATTACAAGATATAAGTATAGCTATTTGGTCTCTAGTTCTCTACCATCAGTTTTCAGATTGGTGAATCATCTACCTTTCCAGCAGCACAAAATGATCCTGGAGAGGTTTCTGAGTAATACAAACCATGTGATGGGTCCCTTTGCTTTCTCCCTACCACGTAAGGAACAGTCCTTCACCTTTCACCCCAAACTTGCTAGAAGGTATAAGAAACACTTCTCCCTTTTGTAATTACAGATCCTTCAGCCTTTGTTTTTTATAGAAAGCTTTGAGCTGAAATTCTGCATTGTGGATATATTGTGGGGATTACATATATATACATATATATATGAAATGTTTATATATATATATACACATATATATGTATTTGTCCCCGCCCTCCCTCCCCCCCCGCTCCATTCTATCACTTCTTTGCTAGAGGGAGGGAAAACGTCAACATCAGTCTATTGCAGAGGTTTGTCACATTTATTTTTCTCCTCCCTGGAGCACTTAGGTGATTGGTTTTGGTCCATATTCCAGCAGTTAATAGCCACTCGCAGGACTCGTTGTGAGCCCAAGCTATTTTGGGATGGTATCCCAGCCCACACGTGAAGGGTGACTCCTCTTCATTTGACAGATATGTGTGGTAAATTCTTTTGGTAGCTTCAACACTTTTCCCAGTGGCAGCACATGTAAATTGATCCAAGCAAACTGGAACCTTTGAGCAAATCCCTTCTGTGATGCTATTGTTTTATGCGGTGTTATGTCATGAGACTTGCACAGAAAATGAGCGCTCTATTTCCATAGGAAAGCCTTCCAAAAAAAAAGCATAATCTGACGTCTTGTCCTATGTGAGATAAGGAAAGTCGAACTGCATGTTTATTAGGGAAAAAAACCAACAAAAAACCCCCAAAACTGAAACAAACCAAAAAGAAAGAAAGAACTCAAGGGAGACTTTGTAGGAACAATGAAGTAGTGCATAAGTCCAGGCTTTCTCCCCTTTAATTTTCTGCCAGCACCACTTCTGCCTGTTAGTTTGTTTTGTTAAGGTGCTTCAGGTCCTGCGTGGTCTTCAAGCTAAGCGGCAACCCCAAGTACTGCTTCTGTGTTGTTGCTTCCCCTCCCAAACCGTGCCAGCCATCTGTGCAGATGTTTCTCCCATGGACCCACAGAGGCAGTGCACCAGTTCCCTTCAGCACTCATCTTCTTGGTATATTTGTTCATCCAGTTCCTGGGATTCAAGGTGCTCGAGGCGGTCTGTTCGGCCACTCATAATCTCATCTGGGGTCTTCATGAACCTGCAAAACAGAGAAACAAGCGTATTTCCCAGTGGTCTCAGCTTTTACCTTCATCAAGACATTGAGGCCCCTAAGCTCTACAGCTCCCCAAATCATCTTTGCTGTATCCTCCCAAAGCTTAGTATTCCCCAGCTTCTCCCCAGCCTACTGGTGTCTTCCCTCCTCCATACCTTGAAAGGAAACCAAAAAAATCACAGGCATTTATCCCTGCTCTTTGAAAGTCCAAATTTGAACCAAAGCCCGTAGTCTTTTCCAAAGAACAATATGTACTTCTTCTCCCCCCTCATATTCTTTGCTGTTGTCATGTAGGATGAGGGTATGCCACAGGTACACTCATTTATGGTGTCTGGTGACAGAAATATTAAAAACGTTTACGGCCAGCATATTTCAAAGCAAAAGCAGTTGCAAGGCATGGAGAGACAGAGGGCTACTGGTTTGTGCAGGCTTGTGTGTAGGTAAGTGAAGAGGAATATGAAACACCAAAGGAACAGTGGTGGAAAAAGCCAAGGACCAAGTCAGAACAAGTTCTGGGAAATGGAAAAAGCCCTGAAAGCAAAAGCTTTTGGGCTAGGGAACTGTGAGCGAAGACTGTCTCTTCCTGTGTGATTGTAGCGAGTGTAATTGTAATGAAGCAGCATCCTCTGTAAATGAATGCCATGACTCCCAGCACTAATGTTTTGATGCAGTAAGTCTGCAGGGGGCTAGAAACAGAAACTGCCTCTGGGGAGGCATGTCAGCAGTAGGAAATGGGAAAGGACATCCACCAGCCTGCAGATCAAGTCTGCAGTCCTGATCTTTGCCAGGATGCTTTTGTGTACTACTGCACAGAGATAGCACAGAAAAGCTCTGCTTTTTCTTTCTGAATTTAATGGCGTAGGAAGAGAGAGTGGCACAGGAAGGATGAAACCCTAGTTTAAACACAAATCACTTTCCTAACTTGTAAGTACTTCTGGAGAAATTAGGATGAAAGATGTTTATGCTGGAAGTGTTACAGAATTTTACAGTCTTTCATTAATGATGTACTGGCTAACATTCAGCAGTACAAAATGTGTTAATCAGAGGAGCTGATTTTATTTCAGGTTGATGATATACTCAGTATCCTTGCCCCAGTGAAAACAAAACCAACTGACAGGAGCCTCGTTACTGTCATTGACCCAGAAAAATCACTGCTGGAGCTAATGGGCAAGACTTGCCTCCTCTTCTGCCTCTGAGGTTATAAAGCTGAGGGCTTTCTGTCTGAAAAATCTGAAGTCTCCCAGCAAATGCATTGCACAGCCTGGAACTAACCTTTTGCCACCCCTTCTAATTTTGGAAATCATGTGCACATATGCATTTAGGGAAAAAAAAAAAAAAAGAGCTGTGACTCACTGCTGTGTCACTCCCATTTGTATGCTGGAAGAACGCTGCTGATATAAATGGTGTTACGGTGGTGAAAAACGAGCATACAGAAGTGGTGAATCAGTCCCTGGCTACACAGTGAAGACGCACCAAAGCCTACGGGCCAGACTGTGCCCTGATTTAAACCCTGTGCTTGTCTTCTTGGTCTTGCATGAGGATGAAATCAAAACAGAGAGTGATCCCACTGCTCTCCCTACCTTCTCTCTGCTCTGCTTCCTAAACCAGGTGGGAAATGGGCTGATGTGAACTGTATGACAGTACTTTGGGTATTCTTTCTGTGTTTTAAGTCAAGGAACTCAAAGCATGGGTATTTGTAATAGCATTTGATTAAATTTCAAAAAACGACCCAGAACTACAAGCTAATGAAGAAACAGTATCTGTGACCTCTTTTGTTGCAGAAGACTCTCAGGCAACCTATTAGAAATCCATCTCTGACTCCATTTTACTTAAAGCTCTGTACAGATATCTGCAGATGACAACTGCCTGCATGTTACTTATAAAGTCACATTTCCTATTATTTCTGTGCTTGCAAGAAATAGCCAAGAAAGGCACATTAATGGCTTGATTTTTTGCAGCTGTTCTTTTTCTCTTTAGATATAAATAGGTCTAAGAAAACAACATCAATAAGTTTTTATTGGGAATTGTGCAAAAAATGCTTTGTTGTGTTTTTTTCTAGTTTCCGAAGGAAATGAGGTTTATATGCTCATGTTTTATGCTCCCTGGTGACCTTTGAATCTGTTGGTCAATTTTGGGCAAGTCTGACAGAGGAACTGAGGTCTCCAAGGGTACTGAGTTTGTACAGTTTTGAGAAAATAGGCAGCCTGGTTGAGAAGAGATGGACTCCTGTTTTGTTTGTGCCCCCACTGAAGGAGAGGCTCCAAGATAAGCACATTCACTGTTCAGCATCAAAGAATTCTCGCGGGGCAGTGCAGTCTTCACACAAGGCCATAGCAATCCAGGTTCCCTTGGTACTGCTGCTGATGGAGCAACCTTGCTTTAACTTTCCGCAAAAAAACCCCTAAAACCATGCAGTTGATTTTGCCTTTGATTCCTTCTTCCCTTCATTCTCCTTCCCCCATCTAAGTCTCCTTCTAAGAGCTGACATAAACAAGACATTCCACAGAAACCTTTTCAGCTGTAGATAGTTTGAGTGCTAATGCAGTTCTGTTAGCTATTTAAGAAAACAAACTCCAAGACTGCCCTCCTATTGATATCATTTCCAAGCACATTACTAGATCCAGACCACTGACATCAAAGCAGTCTAAGTTCAGCGCTCTGTGGGTCAGACATATGCACTAGGATTCACTTGTCTTGTCTGAAGAGAACTGGAGTGCTCTTGCTCTCTGCCAGCCGCAATCAAGCTTGTACAAGTAGCTGCCTGCTTTAACACTGTTTCAGGCACACTATTTCCTAAATTCTTGGTTGTATCATCCAATCCAATGCGTGAGGTTTTATGAACAGCTCTTGCAGGTCCCTCTCTTCCTTGAAGGCAGCACCACTGAAGACATAGTCATCAGCACTTCTCTTCTGTGATGCTGATACACTTGAGGAAATGCCTGATCCCTGCTTAGCTTTCACTGGCAGCTATGTTTAAGAAGTCAATTTGGAGTGTGTTTTCCAGCAGTTAGGCTGAGATTATGTATCATTTAGCTAAGGTCTTAAACAATGGCACAGCCTACTTGAAGTGAGTGAAAAGACTTCTGTTGACTCCACTGATCATTGAAACAGGCCTGTATTTTTGTAAATTGGTGCAGTTGCCTTGAAAGCTGGGAAGCACTGGTCTAGACAGCCTTTACAAATGTATGCCCATTGTTACCTGTGTTATAGCTGTGCCAATGAAGTATCCCACACAGGATTCCATCCTCCATCTTCAAAAACTAATTGTAGAAAGGAATGGCAAAGAAAAGAAAAAATTACCTGAACAAAAGCCTTTGTCCTGGCTCCTTCCGGATAATATTTAGTTTGTAGTAGTGGCGTAGGGCTCTGGACATTTTCTCATAAGTCATATTTGTTCTGTTCTGTTTTTTTCAAAAGAAAAAGGAAAAACGTGGTGAGACGATTCATTAAAACCTTCCTAAGCCCCCAAAGGAGTTGCAGAACTATCACAGCTAGCTAAAGTAACCAAGTCAGTTCAAGAAATTACATGTTCCACTCTTCTGCTGTTTGCAGGCCCATCCTGCCCCTCCAGCCCTCATCACCAAATTTTTATGGGTCTCTTCATTCAGGGCAATTTAAGCAAGAAAGTCTAACAAAAATTCCAAGTGAGGTTTTTCTACAGTTTCTTGGATCATAGATAAAAAAAGGTTTCATCAACCACAAGAGGAGACATCAGATGGAGGGAGATGCTCATGTCAAGTGGGATGTGACAGGCCTGTTCTTAATGAAACCACTTTTTGTAAAAGCCCAAGAACAGTGGCTAATAGACTGAATCTGTCAGCAATCCCTGCTAAGAGCACTGTTCCTCTGGGATTCCCCTCCATTAACTAGTTAATGCTTACAGAGCACTGTGGAGATTGAGAACCCGTTTCTCCTCTTGTTATACAGGTGTAAATCAAGAAGCCCATTAGGTTGTAGATCTGCTTCTATGACAGAGCCTTCGCTTCATTCTGGGAGTTGCTGACCCCAAAGGCCATAGCCAGAGCATTGCAGGGTGACGGAGGTATGGTCCTGCTGAAGCTGAGTGTCACAAGGCAGAATTGATGGGCACTGGCAGAGCTGTATGTGGGCAGCCCCCATAGTACTGACTTGGGATAGCAGGATCAGTCCCTTAGGCTACGTCTACATGAAGAGCATTTTTCTGGTACAAGGAGCACTGGTTACTATCCTGGCAAAGAAACTCCCAGCAGAGAGACAACTATACTGGCAAAGCTGTGTTTGCACGAGTATAAAGCAGCTGCCTTGCCATGGGCAAAACATGCCAAACTAGTAGAAGCATGCTTTTGCTCTCTGAGCCTCCATGTTAGGAGTTTGGCTTGGCGCAGCTCTGTCAGTCCAATATCAGGCGGAAGGCTGTAGTGTTGACCTGGCTTTATTAAATGAGACTGATCTGCCTGTCTAAAATGCCCCCTAAGAGCAGACCTCCTCTGCTTGCCCTGACTGCAACAGCTCTGCTAAGGAAGGCCGCATAAAGAGCTCCTGTGGCAATTAAACACTAACAATGACAATGTTTTCCCTGCAAAATCTAGACTATGCTCATTGGGAAGCCCCCTGAAACACCATGTGTGCTTTTTCCATTTCTTATATGCTAAAAGGCCACTGTGTTTCCCAAGTATCTTCAGTTTTAGACACCCAACGTGAGACGTGATGGCAAGGCCCGATTATTAGCATGGAGGTTGGGTAAGGGCAGAACTCGCCATTCCCAGTGTTGCAGCCCAAGACCTCCAAGACAGATGCTCTTGTAAGCGATGAGTCACATGAGAAGATCTTGACCTTATCAAGATTATAGCCCATGTATACTCATATACAGAATCACAGAATGGTTGAGGTCGGAAGGCACCTCTGGAGATCAGCTGGTCCAGCCCCTCTGCTCAAAGCAGGGTCAACCAGAGATGGTTGCCTAGGACTGTGTGCAGTTGGGTCCACAGTCTCCTCTGGGCAACCTGCTCTACTGTCTGACCATCTTCCTAGTAAAACAGTCCCACAGCTGGGGTCTCATGAAATGTAACAAGGGGCCATGTAAAGTCCCTCGCTTCCCAAGATCATTCCTCCCCAGGTGGAGGACTTTACATTGCCCCTTGTTAAGTTTCATGAAATTCCCATTAGCCCATTTCTCCACCATGTCCAGGTCCCTCTGGATGGCAGCACAACCCTCTCTGGTGTATCAGCCACTCCTCCCAGTTTTATATTATCTGAGAACTTGCCGAGGGTGTGCTCTGTCCCATCATCCAGGTCATTAATGAACATGTTAAACAGTATTGGCCCCAGAATCAATCCCCGGAGTAACATCACTAGTGACTGGCTTTTGTGTCATTGATCACTATCTTTTCAGCCCAGCAGTTCAGCTAGTTTTCAGTCTACCTCACTATGTTCTTGTCTAGGTCATACTTAATTAGTTTGTCTATGAGGATATTATGCGAGACAGTCTGAAAAGCCTTTCTAAAATCAAGATAAGCTACATCCACCGTTCTCCCTGCATCCACCGAGCTAATCATTTCATCGTAGATGGATATCATGGTGGTCATGCATCATTTCCCTTTTGTAAATCCATGCTGGCTACTCATATATTCATATGAATATACTCATATGCATATACTCATATAGATATATCTATACATACTCAGCCCCAAACTGCAAAAATTACCCTCTTAAAAGGAAATATATAATCCTGCAGCATTTGGTGTCTGTCACAGGACAGCATGTGAAATCTGAATGTTGGTGCAGACAGGAACACAGACAGAAAGCTCCTGCTGAGATGTGGTATACAGCTCCTTGTAGACCACATCTAACCAGAACATCCTTAAGCATCAGGTTTTGGGAAGAAATGAGATGCCGCAAGAGAGAAGGACCATTAATTCTTGTGCTCCTTGTAATTTTATAATTAAATGCATTTATAACTCAATGCCTTTAAACCAAACCAACAGGTTCTCTACATGAAGGATAGGTTTTAGTGCTTGAGGCTGGATGCTTTATATTTCTAATATGCTTGGAATGAAAGATTACAACTTTCCAGCAGTAGTTTATATGCACATGCTTTCTTCCTTTCCCCCGTTTATAAGTGAATCCTGTGAAGCTACAAGAAGTGAAGTGCCGCAGGAGGAAAACTGCATTGCTTCCTTACCTTGTGGTTTCCCCACAGCCGGGCCAGCCCGTTGGGATCCACTATCCGAAATATTTTGGATTCCTTATCTTCCCATCGGATGAAGTTTTCGTACCGGCTGTCAGAAAGCAGCTGATAAACATAATCCCAAAGCAACCTACAGTCTGTGAAGAGAGGAGCAAGAAAATAGTGACTTTTTTCCTTGGGGTTAATTCTGGACTCTTTTGGGTGGATGAGTAGCGAAAGGACAGTTGGGATCAGGCTGAAACAGCTGCTACAATCTGAAATGCAAATGGCTTGGTTGGTATTGACTAATGTTTGCAAAATGTACTGGAATATACAGCCTCTTCTGATGCATCCTAGTCCTTCTGACACTGACTGAGCATCTTGTTCACATTAAAAGCTGCGTGAGATGACCTGCTGATCTTAGTTGTGTGTTTATTGTTGTACTGATGCACGTAAAACTACCACTGTTTGTCCTGATGCTGTTGCTGGCTGTTTCAGTGGGGAAATCAAGAATCCTGTAACCTGCTCTCCCTGCTGAAGGCTGCCCCTTTCTGTGCTAACATGAGGGGTCTAAAGCATGGGCAATGTTACAGCTTTCCTTTGTATATTCCATGTGATATAAAATTGACACCTTCTACCATTCTTGAATTTGCTTTTTGTTTTATTTTTTTAAGGTTCCTGGAAAAAAGACCCAACCAAGTATTATAATTACTTGAGTGCTATTGAGAGGTTAAATACTTTCTATTTGGATAATTGAATTCAAATTTCCTCTTGGCAAACACTCCTTAGGTCGCTAATTAAAGGTCTAACAGATACTTAGGTTTTAGTTTAGTGTTTTTCAGTTTCATGGCAGTCTCTTGAGACTGAGGAAGCCAAGAGCTGAGCTGCTCCTACTTCCTGCTTGCAATGTGTGTGTGCGCAGCACAGCATAATAACAGGCAACTATGAAATATGGAAAGTGAATTGCACAGAGCTGGGGGTTCTGCTGCTGTCAGAAACAACAGGGGTTTTATAGCTCAACTGTCCAGATCCCTAGGATGGCCGTACAGTTGCATTTTACTTTGAAAGAAAACCCAATCTCTGAGAGATGGCTTGTTAAGAGTGGTTAAAGGGCAGGAAACCAAAGACATCTATCCTCTAGGTGCTAAAATGGATTCTTCTCAGCCTGTCTTTCTATTCCTGCCTGTCTGTTTGGGGTTGGTACATGTTACAATGGGGATGATGACATGTTCAGGATGAGAATATAAAATGCTTTTTGAAAAGGGATAACACATTTAATGAGCACACCTGAAATGGTTAGATATTAACATTATTGATGGTATTTCCCATTTTTGAACTGTAAAGAGTATCTCTGAAACCTGTTCTATCTCTAAAACCAGAGCTTAGTTTGCCAGTGCCCTCAATATAGACTCTCCCTACCAGTCCTATGGAGAACAAAGCAGTGCATTTTGAAGAGGTGACATCTGGCAAAAATTGCAGGTTTCCATTCTAGCTGAAACCTACCCCAATGGTCACCTAATCTGTGACATCTACAAGAGGAGGAATATGAAACGAAACAGGCAGTCAGATTTTTTGGTTGGAAAAACCTTATTTTCATTAACATTTTTCACAGAGAAAATGCCCATTCCCATTTGAAATTTTTCTGGGTTTTAATCTAAAAAATTACACCAGTTTCCATTTTTTTTCATTCATGGATGCAAATGTTGTTCAGTGATGGCTTCCTCCCTCTCACCCAGAATAAGGTACCTGTAGCTGGGACCAGGACAGAAAATAATTCTCCTTCACATGCATTTGCCAAGGACCAGCCTAGACACGTCCCTTCTTGGCACGCGGATGCAGAAAAGCCTTCCCTTCCCTGTCCCCCTGCCCCAAGTGGCATACATAGCCCAGCCACCTATCCTGTGGCTGCAGATACCAAGCAGGTAGCTGGCTGCAATTAAACGCTATGATGCCAAACACTGCTGCGGCTAACCCCTTGTGCGGCTCTGGGCACAAGTGACTTCCCCTGGACTACGTGGGAGGTCTGTAGGAAAGCGTGAAATTGAAAGTCTTAGGCTACCACTTTAATTTCTGTCATCTTTCCTCTCACAAATTCACAAAACCCAGTTCTTCCATCACCTTTCTATCAATAATTTTTCACACACACACATTTAGTCTCTTAGACACACATATGCTAGAAAAAACCCTTCTTTTCTAGACTTCATTTATAAGGAACAAGGGAAGGGAGATTATATTGCTCTACTGGTTTGTGCCTTTTAATAATGCGGGAGGTGCTCAGATAATAGCGTAGTAAGGGCCCACATAAGTGGTTCCTTGACACATGTACAATTCATTCCAGAACTCTTTCAATGAAAGGCTGTATAGAAAATGATTTTTTAGTGCAAGAATCTTAATTTAAAAAAACCCAAACCAACAAAAACTTCAACCGTCTTTTTTTTTTATTTTCCTTTTCTTTCGATTCCTCTCGCTCTGACTCCCCAGGGCATATTTTAGCAGTTGATTAGAGCTGGTAATACTGCTGCATTCCAAAAACTACCCTTTCTTTTTTTCATTATCCTGTGTAATCTGTGATAATTTAACAACAAAACCTGTATAGTCTAGGTCAACGGTTGATGCTGAATTCACTTTTTTAGAGCAGCTCTCCCCAAAGATCTCCATGCTTTCTTTCCATCCAGTCCTTCATTAAAATCACTGTAAAGGTGATGTGATTCCCTAGGTCAGCAGTGAGTCATTCACCATGGCCATCAGTGGGCAGTACTGGGTTAAACAGCTGTGGTGGGCTCAGGCTGGCCCCACCTCATCTGCAAGAGAGGTCTGTCTTGGTGGGAGCAGTTTCAAATCAGAAAACATTCACTTAGCTGATATTTGTCAAGGAAAAAAGAGACACTTTTTGGCCAAAGCAGGAATTTATTAGAAACCTGAGAGAAGAGAGGAAGGACATGTGGGTCTGTTGTCGAACTAGCACTTTCAGACTGTGCTGGAAGTTTGCTGGGGTGCTTGGTTGGTGTATGGCCCCATTGGGAAAGTGCTGCAGGAATTCAGCGTCTCACTGTCAGTCATTTGGTTTTGCTTGTGCCATTACTGCTAGTCCTGGAAGCAGTGGCCCTCCTTGGGGTCAGCTGGAGGGATGGCACTCTGGCAGAAGCGAGTCAATGTCAGGCTCTGTCATGTTCCTGAACGTGCAGCCCTAGGCAGACACCCTCCAATTCTAGTAACTTATAGCTAATATTCACAGTTTTGCAGAGATATGATTTACCCTAAACTTTACTTTCACCTCATTATTTGCAATATGCGATGTTATTTTTAATCAGTAGTATACTGCCATAACTATGTTCTAGAAAATTTCCAAATGTATAAATACAAATCTTACTGATGGGGACAGCAGACCCCTAATATCCTCTCTACAGTGGCCCCTGGAAGAGTTTCAAGGAGCTGATGGCTCCTTGACAGCTGACTGGAACTGCACATGCAATGTGCATTGCACTGTGCTAGGCCTGCATGTTCACCTCAGTGTGGCTAGCAAGCGAATTCTAGTTGAATATAATGGCTTTGGTTATTTTCCTTTGACTATCATTACTCCCCCCCCCTACTTCTTCACAAAAACAAGAAAGCACAAAATATTCAGCCCAAGATGTCTGGGCGGCAAATTATTGGACTAACAACAGAGCTTCAGACTCTGAGAAGAGGTAGGATTCAAGTGCAGATTTGTTTTTTGTTGTTCACTTAATTTTTAGAATGGATTCAGGCTAAGCTTGAATATAAATATTCCTCAAATGAGAAGAACTCAGATCTGCATCTTGAGATCTTCACAAGAAAAGTCCTAAGTGATCAAGGGCCCCATCCCATATTCTAAACTGACTGAGCTGCTCAGACTTGCAGAGGTATTTAGTAGGCTGGTGGAATTTGCAAAAAAACCCAACCACCCAAGTATCTTAGACCTGTTTGCTTCAACGAGAAAATTGAAAATTCTTGAAAATTCTGCTTGGCTCCTACAACCACTTAAAAAGTTGTCTTCAAAAGCTACAGTTGCCTATCAGCAAATTTAGATATATGACTGAGTTGCAATAATTTAATGAGCTGGCATGCATCAGTGCAACTGTGGCAACTGCATCTCAAGCCACTGCAAATAGGAAATAAAAAGCATTAGCTTTAAACACCAGTAGAAAAGATTTAGGCTCACTGCATTTCTTCTCACCTCTGCTGAGAGCTATGAGCGTGCACGCTGTTAGTTATCATGGACCAGCTGATGCTTGGCAGGACAATTTAGTTAAATGTATGAACACTGTTTGCAGGGTACCTAAATCAGTTTGCCTTCTTTCACGTTTCACATGGGAGACCTTTAGGAATTTGGGCATAGGCACTCAGGGTTTTTTTGTTTTTAACCACAAATGATTTACACCCTGGGCATCTTTCTCCACAGATTGCATGGTAAGAAAATATGAGGTTCTGGAGGGGTCTCCCTGACTGACAGAGGAGCAGCAACTAAGTAATCTACCATTATTAGGCCAGTAGAGACCATCTTTAATAGGACAAGAGAGGCTATGTGTCATAGACTACCTGATAACTCTGAGCGAGTGTAATGAATTTGGAGTATAGTAGAGCCCATTTGGAGTAGACTGCAAGCCTATGAAATTGGAGAAAACCCAAGAGGCAATGCTAGAAAATGCTAGGAGCTTCTCCACTGGGAAAAGAAGCAGCTCCACAGAAGGCCAGTGAAGACAACACAGAAAGTTGCATCCTCCAGGAAGGTCAAAACTTACATGTATTTTCAGGAAGGATGGAGAAACAGAGAGAAGGACTTGTATGTGGATGGTTGTTTTGTAAGTGTAAATCACTTGTTTGAGAGAAGTCTGGATGGTGTGAATGACTCCCTGAAGACTAAATCACTTCCTTGGCTGTCAGAAGGCCTCCAAAGGAGTAGTCACACGGGGGGACTCTCCATAGGGTGTGTGTTGCCTAGTGAGCAATGGCAAGAAAGCACACGGATGTTGCTGAGGCCAAGCAAGTTTAAAAGTGTGGGAGATTCAATAAGGCAGTTGAGTCAGGGCTGGTACCTAAATTGTTTGGGCATGCTGCAATTTCCTGCCTTTTGGCTAAAATAAGCTTACTTAGAAAGTAACTATGTCTCTGCAGCACAAGGAAACATTTCCCCCTAACA